ACTGATCTTGAGTCGTACATCTGACAACAAGTAAATCAATCTATGGAGTTAAACTTTTGCAAGGAGGCTTGTAAAGTATCAGAAGTTAATAATAATTATGATCTGTCTCAATATGAACACGAATGTCCTCACCATCGATACATTACTCGAATCATTGAACGAAGTCCATTGATTATCTATATTGAACAGTTTCTTACTCAAAATGAAATTCAATATTTAATCCAATTGACGTAAATAAAAAATACTGAATGTTATTATACATATATCTCATTGTGTATATACTAGAGAGCCATTCTTTAAGCCTTCAATGACCTATGAAGACAACGGAACATACTCCGTTAACGAAGTTCGAACGTCAAGTTCAGCTTATATCAGTCGTCATCAAACATCTATTATAGAGTGCATCGAACGACGATTTGCACAATTTCAAGGTGACGTTGATGTAGAATGTATCGAACCATTGCAAGTAGTGAGATATACATCTGATCAACAGGTGTGATATAACTTCATCAAATTTGAATCGGATTTTATATACATTCCATTTGTCACTCTCAGGCAGAGTGACAACGTTATAGGAACCACAAATTTTTGGTTCGCGATGAGAATCACAATTTTTTTCCTGTTTCGATCAAAATTGACACATAAAAAACAAAACCAAGCTTTAGTTCGCATTTTTTGGGGTTCCTTGCATTATAAATTAGACGAATAATTATAAAAGATAAAACTAAAATTTGTTCTTTTTTTGGATAAAGCTTAATTTATACTAAAAAAAACACTCATTGTGCATTGACAATTATCATTATTTATATACATTTATCATTTTTTAGTTTAAACCTCACTACGACTGGTTCTCACATTCGGATCTTATGAAAAATGGTGGTCAACGAGTAACAACATTTTTTACTTATCTTCAAGCTAATTGTTCCAGAGGTGAAACGGAATTTCTTGATATTCGATTCAATAAATCATTACATGAGCGATTTTGTGATATTTTAATTTGTGATGAAAAATCGACCGAACTGGGTATTCGATTTCGTCCGTTGCCTGGGAATAGTGTCTTTTGGTTTAATATGGATGAGTATGGACAAGTTGATTATTTGACATATCATGCTGCTCGTCCGCCAGGTGAAAATGGTCATAAGATTGGATTGAATACTTGGACACGTGTAGACACATTTTTCTTGCCACCCAAGAAATGATTAAAAAGTAATTGGAATAATTCTTTTTAATGTTTCGTCGAAAAGAATTACTACATTAACCATTGTACATTTTCATCCTGAAACTTGTTAACTTCTTTGAAAAACAAGACACTGCTGTGTACTTCCACTTGAATTTGAACTCTTGTTTAGAATCGAAATGAACTGCCTCTGTGATCGAAATCTAAGAGCACTATGTCGTATTGTTCCAAAAAAATAAAATTCCTTTTTTTAGGAAGCCAGCGTCATATATTTCACAGGGGAACCAAAAACAAAACTGGAGATAACGGAAAGATGGGACTAGGGTGTGGGTGGATGTGGATCTTCTCTTTGTCCACATGTACACTCACAACTTGTTTATCTATTTTATATTTTCTCATAAACTGTTACCAATTGTGAACGATGGTGCAAAGCTTTTCTCTTCGTTGACATAAATACAGGATGATTAAAAATTCTCGAAACACCGATTTATCTATTAAGGGAAACGACATTATATCCATCTTTCTATGCCACATACTCGAGGTATTTATTGCAATGTTTCATGGTAAATTATATCCTTTTAGCTCACGCTTTAGATAAACTTTCGAAGTAAAAGATAGGTATTGAACTGACCTCCTTGATTATTGCTTGAATTTTGATAGTTATTTGAGCCCTCAAAACTTTGCAGAAGTTTCTCATTGGTGAACAAATTTTGTATGATACCATTAGCGGTTATTAGACATAGATGTGCCATTGCAGTATTGGACGGCAGTCATTGTCGAAACTTAGATCAACAAGAGAAACTAGTCTTCCAAGCGACATTCTCTGACAAAGATATCAAAAAAATAATATATGTCAACCATTTAAGGGCATACAAATCTTTATCTGATATCTAGTGGTTTCCAAAGGGATTAGTGTTTGTATCTATATGAGTCATAAATGTTCAAATTGACAAACGAAAAAGTTATTGCATAAAAACATATCATCATGGGCCAATGCAATCCGTTTCTAGTGTGGTTTTTTCGAGCAACATGCAGAATAAGACCGTTATTTACTTGAAAGTAAGAGATATCAAGTTGAGGATTACCAAGCGTATTCATTTTAGACTAGGCTTCCAGACTTTTAGTCTCTGAGATGTATTCAAAGTAGACTAGTTAGTCAACAGCTACAACAGTTTAGTAGGGATAATAACCAAAGAGATCAATTCAATACATATTGTTTACTTCGACAGGATATCAAAAGAGTGACTTAAAAGCATGAAATTTTCCATGGAACATCATAGCAACTATCTCGAATATATATGGTCTAGAAATATGGATGAAATGCCGTTTCCCTAAATAGATATACCGAAGTTCCGAGAACTGTTCGACTACCCTGTAGACTGGATTTTTTTTCGCTTTTAAGTCTTTTTTGATGATCTTGGAAACTTTTTACTCTTCTTTTCTAAGAAATCAAAAATAAAACAATTTCAGCAAGTATCATTATCCTTATGTGATTCAAATTATTACAGGAGAAGATCATTTGCTAGATAAGACGGTTAGTGCTTCTCTGCAATGCGTTTCTGGCCATTGAAACAAACATAAGTCTTAGTAGAGTTGCTCTTGTTCGGCATTTCATAGACATGAAACTCAATGTTCGAACAGCTTCTAACAATCGAGAGTTGATCCTGCGCTTCCAGTTTTTGTCTTCTTGTATTTTCGACTCAATTCATTTACTTCTAAGTGTGTTCCATCTCCTAGAATGAACTTGTACGAATTTAGTTCGTATTTTCTTGCTGTAACCAAAGTTTGTTTGATTTTGTCAAGAACGAGATCTATCGATTGATAACCATGTAAATCAACATCTTTAATGTGAGAATGGATGATCCATTATGGTCGAACACCATTAATCATGCTAGTCGAAAGTCTAAAAAAACAGGCAAGATGTCAACTTTTTATTTTCACAACACCTTTTAATGTAAAATTCGATTATGAGAATCTTCAAAGCAACACAGACAAATGAGAATGGCTTTCTGAGATGACAGAAAAGTCGAAGGAACAGATAGTACAAAAAGTTTTCAATGATGTCTTTCTGGACTTGTATGTCACTGTGAATGTTAAGCGCAGGTGTAGGTATAGATCTTTTATTCTCGCACACCCAAACCTACATCCAAATATGAAAAAAGTATCTCACATAAAATTCATTTCTAAATTTGATCTGTTTCTTTGAGTTTCCAGAATCTTTTCGATGATGATAGTAACAATGATGGACTAATGATAGATTGAATTAGACAATTTTGTGGATGAATTTTCAAGTCCAGTAAAACTTGCATTCCGAATACCTTGTTTCAGCATCGTTTTCTTATTTTCAGGCCATGGTGTTATTCTAAGTACTACTGCCACGAGTGATTTGTGTCCAATTATACGAAATAAAAATTGTGTACTGATCCAGTAGGCTAATACATACAATAGCATCAACTTTTACAATTTATTCTTGTTCTTTTTGTTTTCGCCAAAATTTGCTTTAATCAGATGGAAAATACCATATTCCATAAATAGTTCAATGTCATGTTAAGCGAAGAACTAAATTGTACTATATCATACTATCACTCGTTGTTAATAAATTACAAATCGGTGAACTATCAATGTGCAATTATATCGGAATTAAAGGTATAGGCAAAGTTTTACATGGAGGAGCTTGATATATTTCTATTGTGAATCCTTTAGATGCTGATTCTATTGTACAAGTTATTACAGATGAATCTTGGAAAAGACAAAAAACGAATAAATTTTATTCTAAGAAGAGAAAGTAATATTTTCCAACTTTTTCAACTTTTTACTAGTTTTATCAACAATAATTATGCTAAGAACTAAACATAATACCAAAAAATTATAATACATGATCAATCTTCGCGTTAGGATAAAATTTACTTGAACTTTTTCGGTAGAGATTTACTCTAACAAAAGCTTCTCTTAGACAAAAATGAATTTACTTGTGTATATAGATGATTATATATGATAATCTATTAATAATATAAAATGAAGTGAAACAATTATCAACATTGAACAATTACTGAAGTAAATGAAAGTAATAATATATTTTTATGCATAATTTCTATTATAATTGATGTTGTCTGTACAACAAATATACTTAATCAAAATAAACAACGTTTATATAACTATGATGTACATGAATTGTACCGAAAAAAAAAGTATAATGCTAAAATTAGTTCGTTTTCTTCATGAGTCAATGATTAACATCGTTAATATTCGGGTATGAATGGTCCATCAAGATTTAAATCTACATATAGCAATTATTCACCTGTTAGTTTTTTCAATTTCACACCTAAGTAATCCACATGTGCCAAGATCACTTATTTTGCTAACTAGAATATAAAAGATTTTATCAATTTTCTCTGTAATAACATATTCAGCAAAAAACAAACATGATTAGGAAAAGGACCCTTTACAAAGTAAATGAATAAACACTTACTGTATTTGGAAATCTATGAATTGCAATTGAATATTGTCCTTTTCTCTGTAAATAATTCAATTTGTGCTAAGATTTGATTTGAAAATGAGTTACTCATAAGAAAACTTGGATTACTATCTACATAGACAAAAAAAAGTATCAAACACTATTTCATTCTAATTTTTATAAATTATACTTAAAAAAGTTAAGAACGCAGTCCCCAGTAGGTAAAATAATAATAAGACCACTTGTGGTAGATGATAAATATCAACCTATAACAGTAGAAAACGAATCGACTAGAATGATTTAGCGCTTAATAGACGACTTCTATATATATGGTTTAACATGTCCAGTTTTGACCGGATTACCTTTTAATCAAGCAATATCATTTTCAGTTTGATCATAACCATTATTACATAACATAGCCATATCACGCATTTTCATCATATGTTTATTACAACTTAGTCCAGTTGAATCAGTAGCTGATACAAATATTAAAATAATTTTACAAGCTTCAGTCATTGTTATTACTTGATAACCTAGAACAATAAATCCGTCATTCATTAAAACCAATAAATAGATATACATTGCCTACCATCGATTACAGCTTGTCAAGCGCTAATCGGATCGATTTCAATAACAATAACTCATGTATCATAGCTACTTAATGCTAGTTTTGCACATCCTCTTCCTACATAACCATATTCAATAATCAATAGAAGTTTCGCCACATCCCTAATTATTATCAAATCATGATTTTCTTACGCCGTCATGAACATTAATAACTGAAACTTTTAATTTTTTATTTTTCAATAATTGACTGGATGTTGCTACACCAGCTACTGTTTCTTCACTACACTGGAAAAAAAGGTGCCGTACCGAACCCTTTTGTTTCAACAATCAAAACCTTTAAAAAGGTTTCGTATGAACCTAAGTCACCTTCAAAATAATTTTCAGCGGTCTGGGAATCTTTGTTAGAGGTACCGTAGATCTCCTACGAACCTAAAAACGATTTAGAATTCGTTGCAAAAATCGAAACCTTTTTTAGGTTTCGTACTATGTACGAAGCTATTTTTTAGTTCCGTAGCAATTACGAAACCTTTTTTTAGTCCACGAAAACCCTCGTTGCTTTAGTATTCATACAATTTTTTTTCACTGTACTACCATGAATGCGAAAAATAAACAATCATCAGATTATAGAAGACAAGATAAAATTACTGTAATCTATATGCTATTTATCATTTACAGTAGATCTACATTCAGTTACATAGCCTTTTATTATTGGCACACCTTCTTTTATTAGTGATTACCAATATCATTCAATTCATTCATTACTGATCCGATTATTTCTAAAATCAATAGATGCAACTGATTTATCTAAACAATTACTTTAATTTGTTTTTGTTTGAAAACTTATATAAAATACGAAATGAATTTTTGTCAATAATAGTTCTTAACGGAGGGTATGGGTGTGAGGTGTGGGCTTGTGTATGAATGTCCGTAAAGGAGATACTCCTCCTTACATTGGCACACATCCATACCAACACCCAAATCTACACTCACCCACACTCCATCCACATTTACACAAGACTCAAAATGCCCATTCAGGAAGTGCTTTGGTGACCTTCGTGCGGTTTCTGGTCGCGCGAGATCAAAGCAATTATTTTATTATTTTTTATTCAATGTCATTTATTTGAGAGGAAAAACAAACAAAACAAAATTAATCATTCCTTTTGAGTCTATTCGAGAGAGAAACGTTGAACACGATGATTATTTTGTTCGACGACATACAGATTGCCTTGAAGATCGAAAGACAAACTCACAGGACAGTTGAACTGATTTGCTTCTTCTCCTCGACCATTTCCACCCACAGTCACAGTGCCCTGTGTTACTCCTTGAGGCCAACGCATCACTTGATCATTATTCGAGTCTGCTACATAGAGAGTTTCGAATGTATCGACAAACAATCCGAAAGCACCGTTCAACTGTGTCAGAGCACTCCCATAGCCTTGACCGCCAGTGACGACAATTCCTTCTTTTGCACCTTTATTCCACGTCATCACACGATGATTCTTGTTGTCTGATACATAAACAGTCTGTTGTTGATCGACAAAATGGAAGGTTGGCCAGTTAAGTTGATTAAGATCAGCACCTTTGCCATTGCCACCAGCCACGATAGTTCCATTTTGATCTCCTATTTTATATCGTCTTACTTCATGGTTTTGGAAGTCAGAAACACAGAGATATTTCTGATCGTCCATGGCCAATCCCCAACAACTGATGTTGCTGATGAGGATTTCTTCTTGAGTTGTGCCACTACGACGAGACCATCGTACGACTCGTTAATTGTCTCGATCACAAATAATGAGACTATCCGTCTCTTTATCGATCAGAACATCACTGGGATAATACAATTGATCTAATTGATGTCCTTGATCATGACCGCCAGCCACTACTTGCCCATTCGTATCACCCAGCTTCCATTGAATGATACGATGATTAGCGTAGTCAGCAATGATTATCGTTTGATCATCAACAGAGAGACTACAAGGACGATGAAGTTGATTGGTGGCACTACCACAGCCATGGCCTCCAGCAATCGTGACTCCATTTTGAGCCCGTAAGAGTTTATCTGGAATGTTATATATGAATACAATGAACAAGAGAATTAAACAAAAATTGTCCTCGTTATCGACGATAATATCTCCCTCTCTATTACGCACAGAAAGAAGAAGGGAAGAAGTGCTAGGAGTGAGAGATTCTTTTTCATTCTAAGAAAGAATTTCCATCTTTTTTGGCTTAATATTGTTTGAAAACTTGACAGAGAAACAGATTTCTCATGTTCTAATTTCACGTACTCATGGAAGTACGAAAGACTCTCATCATGGCAAAGCAGCATTCTAGTGAGTCTTTAGGAAAATCCTCTTTAGAGAAGGATCTACGACAATCTATCGATTTTGACAAAGTATTCTCGTCGAAGTTCTTGTTGTTCAGAAAACAGTAAAATACGAAGGCATAACATCTCCAAGAATCTTATATCTATGAAGAAAGGTTATTGGACAAGTTTTCGTCTCTCAAAATATTATCAGCAACGCAATGAAAGAAAAAAGAAACTTCTTCTAGACAGGATTTCTGAAATTCTCAACAGAATAGAAATTATCAATTCTAATCTTGGTGCAGATAACGTGCTTGGTGAAAACTTGAGTATGACTACAACGAACGAGAGAAGTAAAGAAAAGGGATCATCATTGTAAACGAAGAGGATGTGGTCGTGCGAGTTTGTGTATCCAAAGAATATTAATACCTCTAACCATAGCCATACTCATATCTACAACTACAACCGTAGATGGAATCGCTCGACTTAGTATTGACCAAGTGTTCTGATCATGCTGAATAAAAATAAATAAAGATATATTTTTATTTGCATTATTTTTGTCAAATGCTCAGAATAGTTGCCATTATCACTTATACCAAATTCAATGTTTTCGTATAATTTGTTAATATTTTATTTAAGTTCTTTTTCTAAAATATCTTTTTATTTCTTTAGAAATCGCACAAGCTCATTATGGTTCATTTCTTCTGTCACTCCAACTATCCTTGATAGAATCATTTAACGAAGAATTACATAGTGCAATGGCTAATGCTCGCAGCTGATATGCCATTATACTGGTAGTTTCTTCTCTTTAATAAGTCATAACATTTGCATGAATATGTAATAGAATACGATCGTTAAGCAATGTTAACATTTTTGTGCCTGATAACTATCTTTGTCTCTCTTTCATTGACAAGACGTTTGAAGCAACGTTCAATACAATACTTTTGATTTACAGTCTTGTTCTTATCTGTACTATGTTTAAGAGCAGGATCGTTTGGTCCAAAAAATATACAAAACAACTTTTTATCCAAATGTGTCTCCATGAATAATAGTCTTTGCCGGCTCATGTACAGTAATCCGGCTAGCATCGTATAACTTGCGACCAACCTATCTAAACTAAATCCATACATCATCAACACTAGTACTAGGATGCTATGAATATGGTCTTTCGACAAATTTCCAAATTTTTTAAGGCAAATTCTTGAACCCAATCTGAAAAAAAAAACATGATCAGCTCTCTGTGTTTTCAAGGGAGTAAAACCTATTTTAGAAAACGAGCTCAAACAAACTTTTAACAGATTATTAGAAAGCATCGAACTTAATGTAAGTAATAATGGCAACGATTCTGAACATTTGATAGAATAAACTTTAAAATGCCTTTTTATCTTTTTTATTTTTATTCAGTATAATCAGAACTTCTTGTCAACGCTAATTAATACATTCATATTACCATCACTTTTATTTTTCAATAGAAAATAACATATTGATCATTAGCACACAAATGTTCAGATGTATGATCTAAGTTGGAAATTAGAATGAGTTCACTATGAAACAAAATTTTATTGCAAGAATAAATCTATTATCGGTTTACCCTTCTATCATCCATAGAGCGGGTTATTATCGATAGGCAGGTCGATCAGTCGATTGCTGGTACCTACTGATGGGCCGAATCTCTAACGTTGAAAATGAAAGAACGAAAAGGAAAATTCTAATGATTATAATGAAAGTAAGATGTAATTTTTCTTTTCTTCCTGTACGAAATTACGGAATAATACATTTCTTGTTGACATTGCTAAACGTTGCTCCATAACTTTGTGCAGGATGGCAAGAAAGTTTAGGTTTTACGTTTATCATAATCGTAACAACTTCTCTTTTTTTTTCTAACACAAGAGTTTCGGTTCATCACTGCTGGTACCACTTTTATCTACGGTCACAGTTGTATGCACATTTATACCACTCACATTCTATGTCAAAATCATTGCGGTACAAAGCTGATAGATGGACAAATGCAACTGCAATTCTGAAAATCTACCACTTGAAAAAATGCTTTGTAGTACGAAAAAAACTGGATGTGGAAAGTTCTATTGTTCTTAAATACCTAAATTGTCAATACTGTAAAGTTTGAATAACTCAGTTCAGCTGCTCTATCAGTAACTCATATTTTATATTTAGTAGTTTTCCGTTAAGTGATATCAAATCTTAACCTCACCATTCTCTAAATAGCAGTTGACCTAAATCATACCATGATCTCAATTTTTCCTAATGTCTTTTGTATTTTATATAGAACTTTTCTCATAACTGTCAATAATCTACCTGAAGGATCGGACAACCGAGAAGCAGAATGTGATGACACAGTAGTAGATGTTGATTTTTCCTTTTTCTCAGTTCGTCAGGTGTTAGATTTACATGAAGAAACACCGATTCTACTTTCCACTTGCACGGATGCCGTTGAACACAAAAACTTCCCATGCTTTCCTTATAGCAAATTTATCGAATAAATATGTCGATTTACACAAAGTCAACACTCTCCTGATGGCTAACGAGAAGAATTTTATGAGTTTCTTCGCTGTTCGTTGTTAAATGACACTGTTGAAAAAGCAAGTAGAGAACAGAGCAGAGTAGTAAGAATGAACAATCATGTTCTGGTCGCAAAGTCTCTCAACTAATTCAAACAAAAATATTCACCTCTCTCACCGCAGTCATGAAGAAAAACCGTTTGTCTCGACTTTTAAGTGCGCAAATAATAAATTTAAGTAGGGGGTATGCTTGTGGACGTGGCTGTGCGTTAATGTGAGTGAGTGTCAGTGTAAATGTGGATGAGTGACGAATAGATCCACAGAAAAGCTCACATATACACCCACATCTCCGTCCAAAATGTTATTCCTTGAAGCCTTTAGATAAATTGATTAAAACATATAGCTACACTTAACTCTTTGAAATATCTGTATAACACATCATTTGAAGCGTTAATAGTCAAATGACAAATGTAGTTTTAACGATTGATCAATTATAAAGATTGAAGATTTATAGCTTAAATGATGTCGGATCTTATGTTATACGTGAACTAGCTATTTCGATTTAGGCTATTATGGGTTCCTATTCTTTAATACACAGATATAGTAAAAAAAATACTAATGAAATAAATTACAGTATTTTCATTGAGTTAGTTATCAATATCGACCAGAACAAGTATATGATACCAATATAATAGTATTGTTTAAATATTGTGCTGAATAATTGAATAATACAATACTTAAGCAATGAAATTAGACTCTACATATTATATTTGCTCGACTTAGTACTTCTTATTGACAAGTGCAAAATCTTTTTAAATTCTTAATAATATACTACGACAATATGATTTGTTGACGTCAAAATAGTATCTGTCCAACGTGCCTCTGTTTAATACTGATAGGTTAAACCAGCGAAATGAATTGGGAAACCTTAGCCTTATGCCCAACAGATTTGAAATCTTCTAAGACAGTTGAGGGATATTATACAAAGGCATGGTAAAACCCCGAGCCATCTCGACAAACTATTGATATTATTTGGTATTATATATATTGGCTATTTATATAAGTTTGGTTATAAACTGTTATAAGTCGATCAATTAGTATTTATACATGTGTGATGATTATCGTAGTATACTGCTAAGATTTAATGATTTTTTTAATTCAGTAAACTTATTGGACTGCTATTTCTGATTTAATAAAATTATGTGATTTGTGAATAATGTTTTTACTTGGCCGTAATCAATTGATAATTTATATGTTTATTCTATGTCCATTATTAATATCATCGTATTAAATTCAGAATTCATTAAATACGCTATATTTTCGAAAATAGTAACTTTTGGAAATCATACTTCCAATCGTCGTACGTTTCAATCTACGATGTAACTCAACATTGTTCTGAATTGAAGAATTGTTTTAATTGAACTTTACCTCAGTTATTTTCGTTTTTACATTATATTGATCACTCTGAATCGAAATTCTGAGGTTGTATTATTTAGCTGATACATGGAAATTCAGCGAAACGATCGTATCGCTATTAAATATACGGTAGATTCAAAGAGTCCACTGTGCTTATTTTTACTTACAACTTTAATTGACTTTATTTCTTGTCCTTTACTATTATGTTTGGTTTTCATCACTTGAAAATGTAATGCAGAGCTCTGATAAGTGTCTAATATATCAATAGATAGCATGTAATGCGTTGCCGAATAAAACTTTGCATTTCGTTGATTATTTCGTCTGAGTACACTCATTGGTTATTCTATTCTTATGTCATTTTGAACTTTGTCAATTGATGAAAAGCAAGAGTCGAGAGTAGTATATTGAACTTGTCTTCCTCATCAAGAGATACATAAATCTGTTTTCAATGAGT